CTTTTAATATTACTCTGGCCGATCCAGACTTTAATATTTCATCTCCTATTGATCTTCATATCGGTGCAGACATCTTCTGGAATTTAATTTGTATTGGTCAGATTAAATTATCACCTGGACAACCGATTCTTCAAAAAACTAAACTTGGATGGATTATCTCAGGTCCATTATTTCCAAACAATACCCTTGCAGCCAGAACTACATGCCATTTCTCGACCATAAACAAGTTGAGCATTGAAGATCAACTTCAAAAATTTTGGGAAATTGAAGAATGCCCAAAAACAAAATTTTTGTCTAACGAAGAACTTTCTTGTGAAGATCACTTCTTAAAAACAACCTCTCTTAATTCTTCTGGTAGGTTTGTAGTATCACTTCCCTTGAAATCTTCCGTCGACAATCTAGGCGACTCTAAGACTACAGCAACAAAAAGGTTTTATTCTCTCGAAAAGAAGCTTAATGCGAATTTTAAATTAAAAGATGATTACACTCGATTTATCGATAAATATTTATCCTTACACCATATGTCCGTTTCACCCTTTGAAACCATGGGATCTGAGTTCTTTCTTCCTCATCATTGTGTCTATAAAGGCAATAAAATTCGTGTTGTTTTTGACGGTTCTGCCAATACAGATTCAGGTATTTCCCTAAATGACATTCTTATGGTTGGACCTAATTTACAAGATGATCTTTTCACTAATATCTCACGTTTTACTATACATAATTTTGTACTAACAGCTGACATAGAAAAGATGTATCGACAAATACTGATAGAGGAGGAAGAACGCTCCTTACAAAAGATCATATGGCGATCTGATCATACAAACTCTCTCGAAACTTATACTTTAAACACCGTAACTTACGGTACTGCTTCTGCTTGTTTTCTTGCCACTAGATGTCTTCAAGAAGTGGCACATATGTATGCAACCGATTTTCCCGACATATCTTCTATAATTTTACGGGACTTTTATGTCGACGATCTTCACACAGGTGGTTCTACAATAGAAGATATCAAACGTATTCAATCACTTACTTCCGAATTATTGTCTCGTCATGGTTTTCAATTAAGAAAATGGAAGTCAAACGCACCTATTTTAAACTTTGACAATCAAAATAATGTTTCCTTATAAATTGGAGCTGACGATATTATCACAACTTTGGGTTATTGTGGAGTCCAAAATCTGACACTTTTCATTTCAATGTTCAACCTATAGAGCACAAGTGTAAAGTTATCAAGAGACTTATTCTTTCCACTATATCAAAAATATTTGATCCACTGGTTTGCTTTTGTCTGTAACTATAACAGCTAAAATATTCTCCAAGATTTGTGGAAACTAAAAATTTCTTGGGGCGAAGTCGTTCCCATGGATATCTTTACGAAATGGGTTACATATCAGACTCAACTGGTTAAACTTAATCAATTACAAATTCTTAGGCATGTAATTTGTACAAACTACAAGTCAATTCAACTACACGGTTTTTCAGATGCATTCATCACTGCATATGGTGCTTGCGTTTACATTCGTTCATCTGAAAATTTGAAAATTTTCGTTGTCACCTACTTTGCTCCAAAACCAGAGTAGCTCTTTTAAAAACACATTTCTTGTGAGGAAATAGATAATGCTTTAAAATATTTTATTCGACTAGTACAAAATGAAATATTTTATGACGATTTGACACACCTTAAAAGACATGGTAACGTTGACTCTAAAAGTAAACTACTTACCCTCAATCCGTTTATACATAAGGATAACATACTCCGCCTTGGTGGAAGACTGCATAATTCTGATTTTTGTTACGATAAAAAACATCCCATTGAGCTTGGTCTATTGAAATGAGCATCTTACCTTAAATCATTGTGGTCCTCAACTACTATAAGCTTCCATTCGTGAAAAATTTTGGCCCATTAATGGACGTCAAGTGGTTCGCAAAATCGTTCGCGATTGTATATCTGTTGTAGGGTAGCTCCTAAATTTGAAACTTATCTTATGGGTAATTTACCTCGTCACGTCTTGTTCCCTCTAGGCCATTCTACAACTGTGGACTAGATTATGCAGGACCTTTTTGCTAAAGGATCGATACACCCGAAATTATATAACTATCAAGGGTTACGTAGATCTATTTATCTGTTTAGCAACTAAGGCCATACATTTAGAAGTCGTGAGCAGCTTGACCACTCAAAGTTTTCTAGCGATGCTAAAACGCTTTATTTCTCGACGCGAAAAATGCGCTTCCATCCTTTCGGACAATGGCAGTACCTTTGTTGGCGCAAAAAATGAGCTTGTAAAATTTTTATTACCTATAGTTCAACTATTAGGGACAATTTAACTACCGAAGGTATCAATTGGCAGTTTATTCCGCCAAGATCACCTCACTTTGGAGGAGTTTGGGAGGCGGGAGTAAAATCTGTCAAATTTGACCTAAAGCGCGTCATTGGCAATACAATTCTTTCATATGATGAATTTTCCACTGTTTTATATCAAATTGAAGCGTGCCTAAACTCACGACCACTCTCACTAATGTCCAACGACCCTTCCGACTTACTTCCTCTTACTCCTGCACACTTTTTAATTGGATCCACATTGACTGCAATACCTGAACGGAACTTCTTAGATGTCAAGGAAAACACCTTAGCAGATTCCAAAGGCTTCAAAAACTGTTCAAAGGTTATTGGACTAGGTGGTCCAAGGAATACATTTCGTCCCTTCAGCAGCGAGTTAAGTGGAAAAAACATTTTAACAGTCTTCTCGAAATTAAAAGTCTAGTGACGGTGAAGGAAGATAGAACTGAACCCTTAAGATGGTGCCTGGGTAGAGTGACTAAATTACATGCGGGTTGTGACGGAATAGTTCGTACAGTGACAATTAAAAATAATAGAGTTTGTTTCAAGCGACCAGTGACAAAGGTGTACGTTCTACCCACAGATCAGTGACTTAAGCTTCAGTGAAACAAACAGTGAAAGAAACTTTTAACTCAGCTTCATTACTTGTTGAACCAGTGCAGGCGTTCAAGGAAGGCGGCTTAAATGTTAAAACTTTCGATCAACCCCGTATACTACACTTTTAGTTAAGTACAACCCAACGTTCATTTTACACCCCTCGAGAGGGGATGCAAGTATGGCGGGGAGAAGACAATCAACACTCCGAGAGCCTCAACACAACATCGTTACGCTAAGGACGCTATTTTTAAATTTATTGTTTACAACATATTTTACATGTGCCTTTTTACTTCAATACAGTTTAGTTTAAGTGATTTGTTTTTGTATTATTACGTGAAATTCTAATAAGATTTAACTTACATCCTACAAATGTTAAGAATCATATTTCATCATTCTCTACCTACGAGAGTCATTATACCAGAGAGAAAACCGCCAAAAAATATTTAGGATCAGAATTAAATATTAAGAATATGTACAGCCTTTATACAACTTATTGTGCTGATAATAATATTGATTCAAAATTGGTTGCTAAACAGTGCTTGTATTATGATGTGTTTAACAAACAATTTAATATTTATTTTAAATTATCTGGTATAGTCATTTGTGACGTTTGTGATTCATTTAGTTTAGGCTCACGAATGAACTAAATCTATAGCAAAGAAATAATGTTATAGTTATTAAGAAACGCATCTTGCAGAGTCAAAGAAAAAATATGATTTAAAAAAATCGAGATATTAAATTTTCCATGGATAATTCGAGATATAAAGTTTTGACTTGTGATCTCCAGAAGTGCTTACCTACACCTTTGATTACAAACAGCATCAGTTTTTATAAGAGAAAATTATGAAAATTTAATTTTAGGATTTATGATTTCTTCGACTCTTCAGTACACTGCATGATGTGGGATGAAAGTAAACCAGCTCGTGGCGGAACAGAAAATGCTTCTTATAGGTAAAAAGAAATAAAATAAGACTTACTCACAATCAGTTTAATTTTACTACCAAGACGACCGGCTTCGCTTTCTAAAATTTGCAATGCATCTTCAGGTCAATCGGTACAAAGTTAATTAAATGCTGAAATTATAAAAAGCCCATATTAGGGTGCAGTCTTATAAAGATAAAGATAAAATTACAGTAATTATGCCAATATATACTGAGTTTTTCTGATATTCTCCATGTTTAGTTCAGTGAATGTCCAGGTTTGAGCTCCATATGTAAGTACAGGTAGGATGCAGGAATTAATCACTTTGGTTCGCAGTCTTTAAGTTATATTTGTATTTTTAAGTACGTATAAGAGGCCTCCGAATGCTGCCCATCCCATTTTTACACGTCTGCTTATTTTGGTAGTCTGATTTTCTTTGTTTACCTTGACATTTTGACCTAGATATGTATATTCATCTACGTGTTCTCTCTTTGTCTCTTGGACGTTTATCACAGGTTTGTCATCTTTGTTTGATATTAGTTTAGTTTTGCTGAAATTTATTTTCTATAGTTTCTATAGTTTTTTTTTAGGGATTCTGTGTGTAGCTCCTCAATCATGATATTCAGTGCATTCCACGTGTCAGCAGTTAGTACTACATTATCTGCGTATCTAAGATGGTTCAAGTATCTTCTGGTAATAGGGATTCTCTTATTTTCTCAGTCTATTGACTTAAAGACATCTTCTAGGGCAGCTGTAAATAATTTTAAAGATATTGTGTCTCCTTATTTTGTGCCTTGGTTGATTTTTACTGATTTTGTTTCGATTCTATTTCAACGTAAGCTGAACTTGCTCGTTAATATTATGTATTAATATTTTATACCTGGAGTCTATCCGGTTGTTGACTAATTCTATCGCCCTCAGTTCTACGCTATCAAAAGCTTTCTCGTAATTTATAAAAGCCAGACATGCAATGGACATTCTGTAATTGACTACCTGTTAAACAAAACAATAATTAAATGCCAACATCAAATTACCGATAAGTAAACAATGTTGAACATACACTATTTTTAATTTAATTGAAGGCAATTGATAAAAACTGCCTAATTTAAAGATAACTCATTTACTTTACGGTTGTTGATCAAACATTTGTCATCTACGATAAGTACAATATGGTTGATTTTAATATAAAGGATATTACACTAGGTAAGTTACAATATTCATTATTTTTATCAAGATTTAAGCCAATTGGCTCTGATTTACTCTAAGAGGAAGAAGAAGAAAATTCACTTATTCCAGAAACCTACTGTGCCAAAGGGATTGAGCTCTCATGGGACTCGTTCCGTGTTACTAGTGAGTCCTAGGTGATTTGGTCCTCGGAGTATCTCCCTTCATTCAGATCCATTTTTTTATGTTTTCTTCCTATGAACAGGTTCTTTCAGGAGTAGAGATAATAATAGTTATTGTTTGAGATCCAGTCTATTGTGTACCACTAGTTGGTCTATCAATACAGTCCTGTCCCAGTATAGCTTGTAGTTTTAATTTTCAAGCATTCTGTCAGGGTTTTTTTAACCGTTTTTTAACCGTATTTTAACCGTATTGAGGAGATGCTAGGCTAAAACAAGTTTCCGTTTGTTAGTTTTTTTTTGTGGCATAGGCTTTTAGTCATTCAGCCAGACTAAACATGGTAGAAATGGTTGTCTGAGTTTATATTAAAATAAATATAAAAACAATAAACAGGTAAACAGGATCACTCTCTTCACCCCCAGGAGTCTATCAAGGCTTTTTTTTTAAGACATACAACACTAGGTCACGGTAACAAAGGAATTTAACAATTGGGTTAGAAACAAAGGTTACGTTATTAACTAATGCATAATTATTCAAATGGTTATTTTAGTATCGTTTAAAAACATAACTAAGGAATCATACACTGTTCTCGAGTCTAGTGATAATAAGTACTGAAGGTTTCAAGGGGCTAATATATTCTGTTTATGTAAGTTATTTATGAATCTGGATGAAATTATAGTATTTCTGGGGCAACTGAAAAATATATGATCTAGGTTTCCTTCTTCTGTACAAAATTCACATTGATCATTATCTAAAACCTTAAATTTAAATAAATGTTTGGGGTCATAAGCATGTCCAAATCTCAGTCTAATAATCGTGGTCACATATTTTCTATGTATCTATTTATGCTAACAATGGAATATTCCTTTCATATATTATCATACCTTTGGTATAATCTTAATTTTAAGGAACCCAGAAAGTCGGAAGCCGTGAGTTTATACGAAGTTTCTCTACCAGACAAAATACTTTCGTTTGCTAATTGGTCTTCATGTTGATTATTTTCCAAACCTATATGTGCTTTAATCCAAACAAAGAGTACATTTTTGTCCCTTGTTATTAACTTTTATTTAATATCCTCAATTTTGTAAATATAAGGACAACTGTACTTATTTGGCAATTCCGGTTTCCCAATGGAGGTCAAAACTGATAAAGAATCTGATAATATAACTGTATGGTCCAAGTTACTTTCGTTTGCATAAAGTAAGGCATTATATATTGCAAGAGTTTCTGCTGTAAAAATAGAGGCCTAGGAGTTCAATTTAAATGTGTGCTATTCGTACCAACGGAACAAAACAAAAAGCGCATCATACCTACTTTTATGTGCTTTTATCTATCACTGTAATGCAGAACAATTTCTTTTCAACAATTTCTTCGTAATATTTATATTTTAGTTTGAGACAGCATTTTATAACGATGTCTAGAAAAAGTACAACTTTGTATGTAAATAGAAAATAAAAAATATCAAATAATTAACAAGAAATGTTCGATTTTTGATTTGATGTGTCGCTTGTCAATAATAATCGATTCGAATCGATAAGCGTCTCGATATTCATTTTTAAATTTGATCATTTCGGACATTGTACAGTTTGGGGGTACAATGCTAGAAGTGGACAATAATTTCCGTACAATGCTATGATTGCCCAATTTCGGGCTTTGCTCGTAACATGTACATACAAAATCACTACTCCAAAAATTTTTCTACAAAAATGTTATTGATTTTTTTACAATAACACCGTTAATTTTAATGATAACCCCCTCTGTGGCTCAGTGGTAAGAGCGCCTGCCTTTAAACCTAAAGGTCGTGAGTTCGAATCCCACCTGGGTGGAAATTTTCGTTTATTAAAAAAAATTAATAAATGAAAATAATTTCTATCCTTGTGTGATCGGTACACACCGGAGGGACCGCAGACGTTCGGATACAATTAGCGTCTCTTAGCAAAGACAATGACGTCGACTTTGCTAAGTATCAAGACAATTACTCTACACACACACACATACACACTACACCTCAAATTGTAAGATTGGCGAATGGATTTAGTGTCCGCAGTCATTTAAACACAAACAAACAACAACAACAATTTTAATGATATCAGGTTCATTCAAAAACCATTTGAAAGGTAATTTCAACTGCTATATAGTCGTAATAAATTTAATCTTTTATATTCCTTATTTTTTAAAAGATAAAACGTTAAAGGATAAAAGGTTAAATTTATGTTTAAAACGTTTTTATCTCAGTTATTTTTTATTCTACAAAAATATAAAAAAAATGAAAATTTTTGTTACAAAAAACCTCAAGTTTTGTTCTGTATCATTTTTTAAGTATATTGAGTATATATGGAGTTATTCTCAAAAGAAAATGAAATTTATGAAATTTTGAAAAATTTTGATTTTTTTAAATCATTTTTTTTTTCAAAAATATGCATTCTAAACCGGTCAAAAATTTTAAGGTCATTACTTATGTTAAAATAAAGAAACTCTTATAGGGATTACTGTAAATTTTAATTTTTGTGGAAAGGGCGTATGTTTTATTTTTCACTTTTCCAAAAAAATTCGAAAGGGTCCTCTTATTTTGAGTACTCGCCGAAAAAAAAATACATTTAAGTACGTATAACTTACGTACGTAAACATTAATTTTATTAATTAATATTAAAAGGTTTTTCAAGCAAGGAACTTATTCAATTTTTAATTAGCTTTAATTGTGGTAATGATTACTTTTTTATAAAAACTCATAATTTTTGAATTATTTATGAAAAACCGCTTTAAAACATGCATTGTTTTTTTCACGAAAAATCAAAATATTTGATCTTCAATAACTCAAAAAGTACTAATTTATTTTAATAACTTTACACGATACATTTTGTTTAGATTTGGTTCCTCTATCGATTTCTGGGGTAATTTTAATAAAAATAATTTCCACCCTGAGAAGAGGTGGCATTCACCCCCAGGGTAAAAGCGCAAGTTGACACCATGTCACTTTTGTTTCTTAAGGTAATCTCTATTCACCAATTTTCATGAAAATCGATGGAGGTTCAACGAAATCGGAATTAAAAAATTTCAATGACTGTAATAATTTCCATGTTATGATAAAAATAGATGGCTTTCTGATCGAAAATTCTACTTAAAATTCATATAAAAAATACACAAGAAATTCTTCTTCCGAATTCTTTGATTTGAAACTTGACATGTCGAGCAGAATTATCAACACACAAACAAATTTTGGAGCTAATTGGAACTAAATTATAATTATTGTTGAATTATTAAGTAATTAGGGGGTTATCTAAAGAATAAATTATAACTGAATTAAAATAAATAAAATTACTGATATGTTTTTGTACACTTTCATGACAAATCAAATGATAGAAAAGTTTTGTAACATTGTTTTATAGTAGCATAGTTCTAAGGATGACTTTGTGTGTAGAAAGCACTCATCTAGGAATTAAAAATGCCTACACACTTTAAAAATATTTCCCTTTTTCACCTTTTTATTTGAATTTTAATAATAAAAATTTAATTTGAAGAATAATAATTAAACATAATACAAAGTTGATAGAAAAGTTAAGCGCCAACTATTTTTAGAAAAAAAAAAATATATTAAAACGAAATAGAACGTCAACAATTGAATAAAATCAAAATAAAATAAAAAAATATATAAAGAAAAATATCAAAAATATGGTGTTTATAACTTTGCAACCCCTACTATTACAATGGGGGTTTTGCAGGTCTTGTCCGCAACACCTTTGCCGCCCACTCGCTAGGTGCTAGGGCCGCTGAGTAAGCCAGTATCGTACCTATCCGAAAAATTGGTTAGCAACGATGTAATCTCATATCTTTTTTATTTTTCTTACCAGAACATATAACAATGACCAAACTGTCAAAATTTTAATTTTTTTAAATAGGTAAATAAATAATAAATAAGACTTACTCACAATCAATTGAATTTAACTATCAGACGACCGGTTTCGCTTTCTACAATATGCAAAGCATCCTCAGGTCTCGATACAAAGTTAAACAAATGCTGAAATAATAAAAACCCATATTAGGGTGTTGTCTAATAACGATAAACAAACTAGGTGTTGTAAATTACAATAATTATGCCAATATTACATGTCTGTGGTTTTATTTAAATGAGTAAGTTGAATAAAAGGTATAAAATTTTTAAAAAGTTTAAACAGACAAGGTAAGGCCCAGAAATTGTTATAAAATAGTCTCTTCGATTGTAATAAATTAATAAATGAGCAAATAAATAAATAAAATAAACATTACTTACATGCCGGTACTCTATTAATAGACGGATGGTATAACATGGTTGAAACTACTTTATATTGTTGAATGGAGAACTCAATTCTATTATTGCAGTTGTTTGACAGTAAACGGGAAGTTCTTGAGTTGAGGAGATAGATTTGATCCAATGAAGAAGAGATATGTGGGAGATTGTTTGTTAAATGTAAGTGATGTAATAGACCATTGTGTTATTAAAAGCTATTTATACTTATTCGAGAGATATATTTTTGAAATGTGTGTTATTTATTGAGTAATTGTTTTATGAAGGTGACAGTTTTATGACAATGAATAAGTTTAGATGTAAAAATTGTGTGGGTGTGCAATTATTTTCCAACTTGTAGTTATCAAATTACTTTCATAAAGTTCTACTGGCAATGAGTTAATTATTGGAAAGTCAAGTAAATAAAATATTGAAATACAAACAATTAAGGATAATTTAAACACACTAAAACAGAAAACACTTAGAAGGGACGAAACAAACATTGAATTTAAAAAGGGAGAAAGGCTTTGATGCACTACATCGCAGTCTTGGGCACAATGAGTTTTTTTATGTTTTATCTATTAGATTTTAGTGGTAAATTTGACAGATGTAGGTTAGCATGTGACAGTTCTTCTTCTGTTTCTCAATACTGTAAGTTAAGTTATCTAGTTTTTTGAAATATGCTGTTATTAATGAATGTCTATAAAATTGTTTCAATTTAGATATCAAAAGTAAATTGATGTGTTTATTATTGGCATACTTTAACAATCTTTAATTAATCAAATTTAATGTCACAATATGGATAATTGAAATACATCCTACAATATAACTAACTCAGTCTAATGTCCACATTATTGAACAAATTAAAGTAATTCTTTGGCAACGGAATATGTACATTTTATAATCAAATGTATAATAAGTTTACAAAGTTTTTTATTTTTATTTGAAATTGTTGTAGGTGTGAGATATCTGTCAGGGTATTTTTTAATTATTTGAGATATTTATTTCAAATTCTGATATATTAATATCTAATATACTAATATGTAACCAAAGTAACAAATGGATAATTATTGATGGTAATTAATTTATGGGCTCAAGAAATTGACTGAATTATAAACTCCTTTAATAATTAGTTGGTAGTTCTAATATCTGACAGTTGGAACCGGAAATTGTTATACGAACAGGTAGAATGATCGTCTATTTAAACCGGTATAAGGTAAATTTATTCTTATTTCAATTTTCGGTGTCATATGAACAGATATTCCTCACACCTACATGGACAATGGTGAGTTTGTACAATTGTTTTAAGTAACACTTTAAAATTTTTTTCAATGAACAGCTGTTTGTGAAAATTAATATTTCTAATATTTCTTAATATTCTGTTTTAGTATCTTTAAATTATCCTTAATTGTTTGTATTTTAATATTTTATTTACTTGACTTTCCAATAATTAACTCATTGCCAATAGAACTTTATCAAAGTAATTTGATAACTACAAGTTGGAAAATAATTGCACACCCACACAATTTTTACATCTAAACTTATTCATTGTTATAAAACTGTCACCTTCATAAAACAATTACTCAGTAAATAACACACATTTCAAAAATATATCTCTCGAATAAGTATAAATAGCTTTTAATAACACAATGGTATATTACATCACTTACATTTAATAAACAATCTCACACATATCTCTTCTTCATTGAATCAAATCTATCTCCTCAAGAACTTCCCGTTTACTGTCAAACAACTGCAATAATAAAATTGAGTTCTCCATTCAACAATATAAAGTAGTTTCAACCATGTTCTACCATCCATCTATTAATAGAGTACCGGCATGTAAATAATGTTTATTTTATTTATTTATTTTCTCATTTATTAATTTATTACAATCGAAGAGACTATTTTATAACAATTTGTGGGCCTTACCTTGTCTGTTTAAACTTTTTAAAAATTTTATACCTTTTATTCAACTTATTCATTTAAATAAAACCACAGACATGTAATATTGGCATAATTATTGTAATTTACAACACCTACTTTGTTTATCGTTATTAGACAACACCCTAATATGGGTTTTTATTATTTCAGCATTTGTTTAACTTTGTATCGAGACCTGAGGATGCTTTGCATATTGTAGAAAGCGAAACCGGTCGTCTGATAGTTAAATTAAATTGATTGTGAGTAAGTCTTATTTATTATTTCTTTACCTATTTGAAATGGACTCACACAAGCAACACATTCATGATTTTATTATTTTTTTATTTACTTTCATATATGCTCCCATTATATCAAATGAAAATTTGGAAAGCATACAAACAATTTCTACCCAATTTTTAGGAAAAAGCTCACAAAACACCATCAGTACATATTTACTTATACTATGTGGAGTTGTTATTTTAATGTCGTATTTACAAACGTTATGGAAAAAGAAGCGTTTATACTGGGACTATTACAAAACTCCAGGTCCCGTTGGTCTTCCATTTATTGGTATAGGTTATAAATTTGTAGCACTAGATATGAGTGGTGAGTATAAAATTTGTAGTAATAAACTTATACCTAGTATATTATAATATGAATTATCAACAATGTAATTTTAAAATTAATCGGTTGAAAACATCTTGGTTTTGTTTTGGTTTTCTTGGATACGAAATTCATTAAATACTTTATTTTTATCTATATCATTTACAATCATTAATTTTTACAAGTTAATAACATTTTAAAGTAAAAGATTTTTAATAATGTTTTCGAGATGTTTTTCTGAGACGACTTTCTTTCCAATGGCGCTATAGCCCAAATCCAGCCTTGTCCTCCAAACTATGTCTTTAACCCCGCCGGTCCCGTTTTGATCTTCTCCAGGTTCTCATGTCCAGCAAATTTTGCGCGTCCGCTGAAGATTTGTCCTTCCACCTTTTCCGTGGCCTTCCTTTTGATCTTGCGATGGATTGAAAAAAACGTCTTTATAGAAGAATACTGTAAATTTCCTGCACCCAAAGAGGAACAAACAACGAAATGCTAAACAGAATATAGAAGAAAAAAAAGCTGATTTGAAAATTAAAGAGTGTAAGAATGCCTAGCTTTTAGAGTCGCTATTTTCCATTTAACTATAGTCATTTGGATCTCTAACCTTTTATCTCCCTCAGCAGCCTCTTTTGTCTTCTTGTGCTTCGTTGAGTAAGTAAGTTGAATACATCGTGCAGCGTTTGCAAATCTTCAATTTCTAGACATTTTTTTTTAAACCACGTTTCTGTTGCTATTTGTATTATTCTTCATATTTCTTTCTGCATGTCGCTGTATTTTTGAGGACCTCGATTTATAAATTTTTTTTCCTTTCAAAAGGTTTAATATATCATAATTCATCCACTGTTAATTTTAATATCTGATTTTGGGTAAGCCGAAAGTAGTTTTGTTTACTATAGTTTTAAAATGATGAGTGATCTTCAATGCTGTGAGACTCTTGGTCTTCTTCAAATTTATTCTCTAAAATAATTGCAGAGGCTTGATTATGGTAACTTAGAGAGCCGAAATCGAACCTGCAATTGCGTTGATGTATTATAAGTTCCTTAAATACAGCTCAAAATCACTGACCAAGAGAATATGATCCGAGGTTACATCATCTCCAAGACATATTGTGATTTTTTTTACCGAGTTTTAAAAACGCTCATTTATAGTAATAATCTATCTGATTTCTAAAGATTTTTAAGGACCATCTCTTGGATATTCATTCAAGATATGAACTGCTTCGAATAATTATGCAAGGGAAAATAGCAGGAAAAAGGTCCATAGGAAGAAGACGAAACTCCTGGCTAAAGAATCTACGAAAATGGTATAGCTGTAGCAACAACGGATTGTTTCGGTCAGCAGTTTCGAAAATACGTATAGCCCTGATGATCGCCAACCTTCGGAACGAAGATGGCACTTGAAGAAGAAGAAGTTGATGACCGTTATCGATCCTTGGATATTATGTTGGCTACCATATTCGATAGCGTGACTTTATTGACAGCAGCTCTAATTAATGATGTAGTCGATTTTCCGTACGATTGCCTTGGATTTTTTAGCCATGATGTTCTTCTTCTACCAGGACTAAGTTTACCTTGGATCTTTCCCTGAATGATCAGATGTAAAAGTTCATATTTTTCAGAATGCCTTATCACGTGACCGAAGTATTCCACATTGCGTCTCTTTATTACACTGACCAGTCGTGTTGTTTATTTCAGGCGTCTATGGACCTCCTCATTTCTAACTCTGTCGACCCAGCTTAGTCGTAATAGTCGTTTATATAACCACATCTCAAAGGCTTCCAGACATAGGATCTACGATTCCACTTCATACAGTAGCACTGGAAAAATATGGCAGTATGTCACTCGAACGCGAAGGTCAATGTTAAGATCGTGGCTGCACAGTACGTTCCTCATTTTTATAAAAGGGTGTATATTTAGCCTTATTCTCATCTGCCCTACATATCTCTAGGAACGATCCCTATCAGTCATTGAGACGCGTCGTGTCGAGGTTAAGAGTAACCCCCGCCCGAAAGTGTTTTACAAGAAGTACTAGAAGGTCTTCACTTAATTCCGAACCCCTCCTTCATAGAAAACCGGCACATTTATTTCTTTCGCCATCTAATAAAACATACATCCATCATTATTGATTACTACAAAAGTGTGAGCATTCGAAATAAAGGTTTTTTTGATCTTTTATAAAAAAGAATGTTTCAGAATATTTTTTATTTCAATAAAACTAAAAAATAATTTATTTAAGGATGTTTGTTTCAAACCTAATAAAAAGAAAAGACTATTTAAATTTGAAAAAACTAGAGTTTAGAAAACATTATTTTTGGATTAAACTCTTGAAAGTCAAATCAAACAGTTCTAATCTTTTATTATGATAATTTTTCGACTGTTCTAACAACCATTCCAATGTCATGTGGAACAATTTCACCCAATCACGTCAACATTAGACTGATAATTGCATTCAGTGCAATTTTCAATCCCTATGACAACACGATCGAGTTTGACAACTTCATCCAAATAAATTTCAAAATGTCACAACAAGAACACCACAACAAGATTATAAATATTATGCGTGGTAATAGATCTTCTATAGTAGAGAACAGCAACGAATCTAATGTTAACTTAAATTTTAATAATTGTTCTTTCATTAACTGTACTTTTAATAAATAAATGTTTTGTTATGTTGAGTTATAATTTTTTTTTTTTCGAAAAATTATCCGCCGAATATCCCTCAGACATTGATGAATGCCTCATAATTTCATGACACATTTCTCAAGCTCGTTGCTTGGCAACAGCACTCAGCCTTCGGCTTCGTGCTGTTACCAAGGAACGAGCTTTCGATTGTCATGAAATTATCTCGTCTCTTATCAATGTCCTAGGGATATTACTACTGATAATTTTTGATTATATAGGGTGATCCATCCTATATGCGTCAGTATCTGTACGGAAAACGACTTAATTTTCAAAGTTTTTTTTTATTTTATTGATAACAGCATCAACCACCTTGGATTATTAGCTATACTATAGGTAATACATAGATACTTAAATCTAAACAGTATTTTTGATTATTTGCTATATTTACAATTAGGTCAGAATGTTACTATTTGTAATTAGAGTTTACAAAACATTAATAGTTAAAGTTTGTTAAAAATATTGTAAATTTACAATGTGCTCCTAAGACTGCTTTTATATTGTTAGGTAGTGAGTGTTTTTGTGTTTTACTGATATATTTAGGACACTTGTAACGATAAGACTACCATATATAATTGAAATACTATTGTAAAAATAATACCTAAATCAACCATGGGAGCTTATCGTTTATACCTTGCCTAGCTCAGTATCTCAAGGGTGAGTTCATCTTGTCTTAAAATAGGGACCTGAGTTCTTAGTTGATAGCAAATAAGACAAATTTTAACCAAACATATTTATCAAAAAGAATAAAAAACAATAATTAACCCTGCCAAAGCTTAACAGTTAATATGTGCTACTTAATGCTTGGATGGGCTGCTTTTGTGTTCTAGCTGTTAGGTCCTCCAATTAACAATTGTGATTTCTGGAGAGCTGCAGTCACATTTGGTTGTATGTCCTGATTAGATTGTTAAGTCAAATAAAGGTAATACTTTTGGTATTAAAACAGTTGTAATAAAAATGATCAACAAAGTTGTCAATATGCCAATAAAATGCCCAATAAACCCAAGAGAGTTTGTAGACTATAAAATGAGTAGTATAATCATTTTTGCCTTCTTTTATAACTTTCAAAAAGAAGCAAAAAATATTCCCACCACCTTAGAAAAATGTTTTGACAGAAAGTGGGAGACTAAATGAAGTTAGCACAGATGTCATAGGATGTTGCTATTTCATGAAACTAGCTTGTCTGTCAACACAAAACAGAAAGAAAGAGGGCGAATATTCATTCTACGGGACAGAAAAAGAGAGAAAATAAAGACAGAAGAAGAAAAGAAAAACAGAGGGCGCCAACTACTTTTTAAATAAAAATAGTAAAAATTAAAGTGAAGATAAAGAAATTAATAAATAAATTAAAATGATATATATATATATATATATATATATATATATATATATATATATATATATTATAATGAAAACAGAAATACAATAAATTAACTTAGAAATATATACAACCAGATATACAGTGCTAATTAGTGATTTATTTAAATAGTGGTTAGAGACATAATTTGTAAGTTATATACTAGATAATATTATAAAAAAATAATTATATGAGGGTATTTTTAAGAATTTAGCATAAGAATTAAGTTTAAGAATTTTTTTTATTTTATTTTATTTAATATTTAATATGTTTAGTCAACATGTGCTATGCAACCAAACATACACTGTAGTGTCAAAGTCAAAAAGTTATTTATTTTTGGAATGTTAATTTAGAATATAATTGTGGATGTAAAATTGTAAAAATATATTTCATATAAATGTTTAAGTTACATATAATAGTGTAGTTCTGATCTGGAGAGCCTAAAGTCACGTAAATTATAGATAGAAAACTCTAGAAATGTCAATGGGACTGTATACATAATACATAACAGACAAAAAACCATTCCAGAATTTTCAAGTAGAAAAAATAGAAGGATTCGAACATTATTTGTTGCTAGAATATTCTGGAAACAATGAAAACATATAAAAAGCCATGTAATTTGAGTGGGAGTCAGTCTGTCAGTCAGTTTGAGTTAGCAGTTTAGTTCAGTTAAGTTCAGTTACCAGTTCATTTATCAGTTAGTAAAGTTATAATTCAAGAATTTAGTTACAAGAAGATTATTAATTGAGTTAAGATTATTAAGTCAGTTATTTATGAGGTTATGAAGAGATTCTTAGCTAGCAGAAGGCATTGATTAAGTTACATGAATTGTTAAGTTAAATACAGTTGGAGATTAATTATTACTACAGTAATATAGTGACAGTTTGAAGTTAATTCATTGAAATAAGCATTCAATAATACAACCACAAGATCCAGTATATTTCAAAGTACATTAAGTATATGGAAAT